GCCTCTCGTATTAAGGATTGTGCAATATCTGAGCGCAGCATACAGCTCGAATGGTAAGGATTAGCTACACTGGTATACGACTTCAGGGATTTATACAAACTGCTTCTTCAGCTTTTCCAGCCTTTCTTGCCGACTTATCATAGATCTAAGTGAAAATGCTTTGTTATCTTTGAGTTTTGCGATTCCAAGCCCACAACTGAGCAGAAGCTTCGGTAATACTGTGTTTGGTTTGGAATATCTAGGTAGAGAAATTGAAGCTTACATAAAAAATCACAATAGGTTGTATGAGAAAACAATCGTAATTACAACAGATACATTTAAAGGTAAATTGGGAAGTGACAAGATTATTACCTGTAAAGGGTTGTCAGTTGATTACTTCGGAAAATGTAACAAATACCATTACTCCATACAAATTATCACTGCCTACGTGTACGCAGGTGAAAACCATTTCGAAGCAGGACGACACTCCCCAATGGGCGCTAGATCAGCACTGACCAAAATCGCTCATCTATGATCATGGAGGTGGAAACCGTGCCTTAGAATATACGAGATGCGGTATTGCCAAGCAAACTGTAATGCGATATTGCAGACTTTGTGGCCATCCCGACCTTCGATTTTGACCTAAAATGGAGCACCGTTAGGACCGATCCGGAATCGATCTTAAACAGATTCGATACAATTCATAATTCAAAAATATGTACGCTCAAAATAACAAAATAGCCATTACTTGGGCGTAAAGAATAAACCAACGCATATTTTCAACATGCATCTTAATTCAAGGAACCGGAATTGGTAATGCGGCAAATTGCTGGGCAACGTGGTGATAAGTTTCATTATCCAGCCAGCTTCTATCTCTTTCTAACATATGGGTCTATACATACTTCTCTCTCGTACACTTTGAACTCACGCCAGTTTGCAGTGTATAAATAATGGCTATTTATTTCATTCTTTACAGGTTTGTTATCAGTTGTAGTATCGAACTTCTACCATATACCTAAATCATTGACTTGAAGGATGTAAACCGTTTTTTACTTAGAGCATTATCTATCCTGCTGTATATGTTACTGCAATGAATTTATAATATTTTTTCCAATTTAGCAAATCACTTGGCAAAAGATATACACAAGTTCCAAAAAGATACCTAAATTTGCTTGGTTTAGATAAAGTTGAACGCGTGAAGCATATACTACTTCCCAGAAAAATCGCAAAAGAACAGGATCTGACGGTATTAGAAGTGAGAATCTCAAAATTATAGGCGAGGATACAGCACAACCATTGACATATATAATTATTCTATGTTTTGAGTCTGGTATGATCCCTTCCGTTTTGAAAAAATATATCGTAACACAGAAAAAATATATCGCAACACAGATCGGACAGATATTAACAACAATCGACCTATGTCAGTGATTTCTCATATAGCAAAAATAATTGAATAAAATAATATCTGCTAGAATGCTCCAGTTTCTCACAAAATGTCAAATTTTATGTAAAAAGCAATACAGATTTACGGAGTCGACATCAGACGCAATATCAGGTGTGTTCTTAACCAAATACATCAAAATCTTGATATGAAAATGCATTGTCTTTGTATTTTTGTCGATACACTAAACCATAGATTATTGTTAGACATATCGGAGAGTTGGCTTTCGGGGTAAACTATATTTATTACTAGGAAATTACTTATCCAACAGACAACAATCCGTTAAAGTATAAAATTTTTCAGTGATGAAATGTTTACTAAATGTGGCATCCCACAGGGATCCATTTTGGGCATACTGCTTTTTAATATATATGTAAATGATATAATTCAACTGTGTGGGCAAACTAGTAAGTTTCGCAGATGACACAGCAGTTATTTATAAGGATGATGATTGGTTTCATTTGAAAAGTATAGATGAAAATTATCCAGAGGCTTAATTACAGGAAGTCAAGAATTAGTTACTCTAAAACACATTTTTACCATTTTCTTCCTGTTCTAGATATCTACTTAATTACACAAGCATCTCCTTTATTGTAAAAAATCAGAAATGGACAGAGTATCAGATATAAAATGCCTTGAAATATGCCCAGATCCACACTTGCATTGGGATGTTCATATATCGTATATCTGATAAAAGTTAGATATGTTTCGTGTAACATTAAATACATCAAAAAAATGTCAAAAGAAAAGTATCTCTATACCTTATACACACCTTGATCGAGCCACATTTAACCTACGGTATATTGGCATGGAGTGCTACATGCTTAAGTCATATTTACGATTTGGATATTTTTCAAAGAATGATCCTAAAAACTATTTTTAACAAACCAAAATTGTGTCCAAATGATATGTTATACATCACAAATTTATTAATAATGACCAAAAAATTAAACACAATCACCACATAAGGCATAAACTAAGAGGAACAGTTGTCCCTAGATCAATTTAATTTATAACACAAGGATCATACCTTTATTTAGGTCCAAAATACGTAAATTTACCTGACGATATAATAATTTCAAGAAAAAGCTAACATAATGGATTTTTCTCTGGCAAGACCAGTCGTACACAAATTAATAGTAAATGTGAACATCAAATAATTCCTCGATTAGTTGTATCTCTAGTCGCAACTTACCATTCCATGAGTTAACAAAGTACTTTCAGATATAAATAAGTAAAATATTTTAAAAAAAGGTAAACAGAAACCTTAAGACAGCCACAGCTAATCACATAATTCTTTATTGCTCATCTGACCTCCTCAAACATGTCCCAAACAGAAGGACAAGTAGAGTAACCTTCAAGCTGAACTATACTGATGAGAGTCGTACAGGAACCAAATGAAACTTACGACGCAGCTCTAAACGATAACGGTGGTCAATTACGGCTACCTGTGCCAGGGTCAAATCAGCTGTAATAAAAAAAATAACCCTCGTGCCAGAAAAACGAAAACGGCAGGGAGATAATTGAGGCGAAATGGAACATACAAGTAGGTTAATGCTGAGTGGAATAGCCATATTATGCGTCTTGTGATATTAATCGTACTGACGCTTTGGAATTGTTTGGGAGTGTTATGGGTTGCCAGAAGCAGATGGTGCCAGTTGGGTTTGTGATCATGTACTAGTTTGTAAACAGACGTAGATATCAATTGCTGACTAGGTGTTCACGTTAATATGTGAAGGGTACAGGGGAAAAAAGATGAATGTCACAAATTTGGTGCTTTGTAGTTAGAACCGGCAACATGTAGTCTTAACGCAGTACAATCCCGTGAGGTTGTTCTTTTAAGGTCGTGCTCGTTCCTCAGCAAGAATTGGATTACTATGCAAGTTGGTGTACTTGCAGTCGTCCAGTAGAAGCTCAACGTTGTCGAGTATGTAACCAAATGTATTTGCCGACATATTCATGTAGCAGTGGAATCTTTCCTTGTCTCTCTTCAATTCAAGAGTAAAAGATGGTGGTACTATCCAAATTCATGTCTCGATTTGTTTACTGGATGTGTTGTGTATTTTCGAGTTGGTAGAGAACTAAACATCTACCACTTGGTTACTAGAGACAAATCACTCTCACTGCCTTTATCGCTCGTCAACATCCTGTCTCATTATTCGCTCGTGAACAAATGAAACATTAAGAACCTCCTTCGAGGGTGAATTCAGTATGAACACCCTCCATCCATGTAAGCATCTTCATTATGAACATACCCTTAGATTACACCAGTTTGCTTGTGGCTTGTTAGAGTTTGAAGTATTTCTTAAATAATGACATTTCATGCATATTTTGTCCGACAGTTTTTTACCAAACAATACAAAAATTATGGGAAAATGCTTCCGATTTCAATCGACGCAGAGCAGATCTGTGTCGTAGCGCTTTCAGTCGGAAGTCAACTGCTAACGGCCGTATGTGGAGGTTCCTTAATCGTGAACAGCGGTGCATGAAAGCAGTTCAGCCGCCATACGCCGGAGAATCGATTACATGAGTGACTAATGCCCCAAATCGGCAAGCCGCGTGCAACTTACAGCAGTTTCCGATCACCAGCCATTGCTTTGGAGGCAAAGTTCCGAAACTATGTTAGCGTCGTCGCGTTGAGCGAGTGCCCGCAACGTCTCCGGGAAATTAAGTAGTCCGATGGTCAGTTGGGACACGCCAGATGAAGTTGCCAGGAAGCTGCAGCGAGCTAGTGCACACAGGAAGTCGTATTTAGCGTCAGTTCCGCAGGATGGAGCGAGGTTCGTTTCAGGAATTGTGATTTATGGTTTATACCTCGTAGACCAAAAATGTTCCTTTCATTATATGCATGGAGTGGTACAGTTACGTCACGAATAGTTTTGGGAACATAGTAGTGAGGCGTGTAGGAAATTCTGTGATGCAAATCATACAGATATTTAGATGGAATTATGTGTTTGGTCTAAGGGTTGGCTTAAAAGGCGACGCTAACCGACGAACAGTAGTCCTAACCACTGTTGTCACAGCTTCTCAACTCCGTACAGGTGATGTTTGTCACAAGATTCATAGGAGAGCAGGTGTTCTTTGTCTGTCTAGCAGCAGCCTCTAATGTATCCTCGGATTGGATGCGAGGTATAACTAAGGACAGGAGTACTTCAAAGTTCAGGTCACGCGATCAAAATCGTGGACTTTTGTATACCTGAATAACTACTGGATTTTTGAAAAAATGTGTAATTATGAAATCTTGTTTGTGAAAAAAGAGCAATTTGAAATGTAAAAAGGTGAAGTGGGCCCACCGGTTGGGAAGATACATTCAATAACCGTTTTCAACCTGGCGGCCATTGTTAAACATGACGGCCAACCGAATCGCGTGACCTGATTTTTAATATGTATGCACATTCCTATAATGCCCCACATTCAAACTGAAGAGACATATAAGAACCACGTGGCATTATTGGCTCCTCCTAGTCTAAACCTGAGTGCTCTAAACTTATATAAAAAATATATTATAGAGATTGACGATCTCATCAAAGATGTTTCAACCATCAATACTGCAAAGGCAAGATTACAAAGACGCTGAATGTCAGAAGACTTTGATGGAGTCACTATAGAAGTGGCAGCGTGCTACTGCAAACAGGAAGTCGCATTTAGCATCAGCTCAGCAGCATACTGCAGTGTTTGTTGCGGGAATTATGATTTATTTTTCATAAATCGTATACTAAACATGTTTCTCCATTATACATATACGGAAGCACTAAAGGCCTAGTAGGCCCATGACTTGGAAAGTGAAATTCTTCCGTTTCCTCCTATCGACTGCCTTGTTCTTTCATCTCTGCATCCCTATTACTCGTAAGTCCTCATATACTTCTTGTTTCGATCTACCTTTTGATGTTCCTCTTCTTTTCTTTGTGCCAGCTGTGTGCGTCGGAATCCTCTTGGTATTCATATATTTGGCATCCCTTCTATGTGGCGTAACCACCTTAACCTCTGCACCTTTATTACTCCTACTATATTAGGATGCCCATATAGCTCCTTTATTTTGCTGTTCGTTCTTCTCATCCAAACACTGTTAACTAGTTTGCCACCACAAATTATCCTTACAGTCTTCCCTTCCCAAACCTCAAGCATATTCGTTTCTGGTCAGAGTACTCCGCTAGCACATATGATTACTGTTCTGTATATTCTAGTTTTAGCATTTTCGATATATCTTTACTTTTTAAAATTCTGTCAAGTGCATATGCACATCGGTTCCCAGACATTAGTCTTGTATGTATTTCTTCTTTGATATTTTGTTTGTTTGTGAATACTGTGCCTAGGTATACGAATCTTTCCACCTTCTCAATAACGTAGGTCTTGCCTAGTTTTGCTACTAACAACAGCCCATTCCATGCATTTTGTCTTATTTTCATTTATAGTTAGCCCCAGTTTCCTAGCCGCTGTATCTAGTCTCCTCACTACATCTTGTAACTCCTGTTTGCCTCTCGTTACTAGCGCTCTGTCATCTTCAAAAGAAAAACACTGGTGTTTTCTATGGTACAGTATCCCATCATTGTTGATATTCGCTTCTTGCATTACCTTTTCTAAGTACTCACTTCTTCACTGACTTTTTTGTTTGACATTACAGTATTTATTTTAACTCCATTTTCAGTATCTTTTAGCGTTACTTGCACCATTCTTTGTACCTTTAAGTTAATTCATCACTCATCCAATGCTCTGTACATTTGCGTTTGCTTTATTCTTTATTCTTCCCATATGCTTGCTTAAAATCGATAAGTACTGCATGCAGTCTTTCAGCCTATAGTTCCTTGAGTGCAAATATTTGGTCTGTCGCACTTCTACCTCGTCTAAAACCACATTGATACTCACCAACAGTGTTTTCCATTTCCTTTGTTAATTTTTCCTTAATGTGCATTGTGAGCTGTGCTTAGAAGTGATATCCCCCTATAATTATGGATTTCTGTTTTGTCGCAATTTTTATGAATGGGACATATAACGGCCTCTGTCTATTCCTTTGGTAGTTCTTCTTTAATCCATATGTCTTTGATTATTGTGTGTACCTGTTCTTCTACCATCTCTCCACTATATTTAAAATATGCTATCCACACATCAATTTCATTACCTCAAGTTTTAATTTTTTGAATTGATCCGTTCAAAAAATCAAAGGGGAGGGGCCATTAAAGAAAAGCACTGTATATGTTTCTCCGTTATATGCTTAAAAGATTCCAGAATATAGTAACGAGACTTGTAGAAGGTGCTGTGCTGTGGTAGTGATGAAATATGTGAATAAAATGCTTGTTGTTCTGATAATTCGAACAGTTAGGCAGAGCGAAAAATTACACGGGGGATGATGCAAGTGACATAAGGGATGGCAGTAGTAGTCAAGTTGAGTGAGTTCTGGATTGCACGGTGTGAATTAAGCAGCTAATTTCAAACATTCTGTGAATGTATAAGCAAATGGAGTCCTATCAGCATGAAAACCTTTGGATGACTTACAGGCGCTACATTTTTTGCATTGTGCTATATAAATTGGTGATTAGCGAATGATCCAAGGAGTGGAGTTCTGAATTAGCTACCCCTCTCAAGACATCCAAACTCACATCTAATATGGATTGTGCTATTACTGCGCTATCTCGCTTCACCATCGGTGCACCACGTCTCGACTTTCATTCGGTTTTACAGAAACATTTGGAACATTACGGAGATGATCGTTTTACAACAACCATTACAAGAATTTGACAGAATAGTACAAAAAAAAGAAGATTTTGACAAAAAAATTGTTTAACTTATTTTTTAATAGTATTTAACCTACTTTGAAGATTGCCAACCAGCACAGGGGTAGTATGAGCAAAACCTGAAAACTTAAAAAAAAACAAAACAAAATGTCACCTCATTCCACGTTTGCTCGCTATGATCGCTGTGAGCGCCATCAAAAGCGTCCATCTATGGAGGAATGACTCAACGACACGACACACTCAAGCATGCATTGTTGGTTGCAGAAAGCTAAGTAGTGTTTATCTCTGAGAAGATGTGAAAGAAACAAAGCTGATTGAGTATGTATGGTAGGTAGTATGTAAGTATAAAATGAATTAATTGGATGATAACTAATTGCATGCTTTGAATGCATCTCAAGTAAGTGTATCTGATACAAGAATCCAATAGAATTATAGTTAATACAGATTATTAGCTCACAAATTCTCTCTCTGCACCTATGCCGTCTCTGAAGCATCATGACGTTTAAGCAACACGTACAGACACAAAACGGGTTCACAACAAGTGTAGTGCTAAGTCGACAACTTGTAGAAAAAACTACGTTATGTCACAGAAAACCTATAAAATATCAAAAACAGACAAATATTACCTGTCAAGATTCGTAATACTCATGCAGGTGCCGAAACATCAATAAACCGATAATGGGAGCTATATTTAGCTCGAAATTGCCTCAATTTTTTTTAGCATATGTGACTTTATTCAACGGCCGTATCATAAAGATCAAGTAAGCAAACTCATTGAATTAGTAAAGCCCATTTTCAGACAAACTACGCTTTGCAACTAAGTAGGTAACGGTATGAACTAGTGAGTGTCCTTGTTGTCTATCTTTGGTGTTTTACGAGATGAAAGGAAAACACGTGCATAAGCCCCTTTTGATAGCGTCCTGTCGTTTCCCTTTCTCAGGTTTTGTTCCTCTCTTTCTCCAGACAGCTTACTTTTCCCATGATGGGCGATTCAGCTTCCACATAGGTGAGCCTAATTGATGATCCATTATCCAGTCGACGTGTGTCGTAAGTTTCTTTTGTTTCCCCTCAGACCCTCATCTCTACAGTCGATCCGGATTATTTCCCATTTTTTCGAGGCGACGTTCCGATAACTTTGATATATGCTCGGCAGAGTTGTTTCTACGAAATTATATTTTCTTCTACCTTTGTGATATTGATAATGGCTTTTACAGGTCGAACCATAATACGTTCCGATAATTTTTAATACCAGTTCAAAATTCATTTATTTGTTCAAGTGAAAACAACCTTGTTCATTTCTTCTTTTCTGTCAAACTGCAATGCCGATGTGGCTGTATAATGGCCGCTAAATCGCTAGTATATAGCTCTAAACGGCGTTAAACATAATTAGGAACCTGACAAAACGGAAGGAATTGAATTCAGGGAGAATGTCATAATATACGAACTTTCCAATCTGACAAAAGTCAATATGTTGAGATGCCAAATGCCCGGCTGATCTCGGTAAGGAAAGCAGAAATGTAGCCATATTACCAGATGCATTTCTCTTCGTGTTGGAGTTCGAGGCGATACTACTACAAGGTTAATGCGCATCTTATTTAGCTTTATTGAATAGTTTGATTTCCAGTTCAGAGTTTGACAAAAGTGTATTTGTCCACAAACTACACCAGCAGTTTGATCTAGGTTTATGTATTGTTAAAATGGTTCTTCAGATAAATCGTCAAGTAGCTTTTTTACTGCAGAGCTTGGCTCTTGATCCTTAGATTGCCGTTGTTCTAATGCTCTCACTTAAAATATCATAAATTGTCTTGTAGTGTCAGTAGCTGGGTAACAAGAACGAAAACAAACCATCTATCTACACTTTTTTCGCTCAATTATGTGTCTCCCTCACAAAACGCCACATTCATTAATTTATATTATTATTAATAAGCAGATCCTCCTCAAGGCTCGCAGGTGTTTTAAAGAAGCTAATGAATATTACTTCCACTTCATTTTACTTTACTACGTCTTACGACTACGTTTAGTCCAGTCAGAGTTGAACAAAGTTAATTAGTCACTTATTACTCGTTCAACATATTTAGTGTTATCGCTAGTTTTAAATAGAGAAGATACCACTTATAAAATATTTACCGCGCGAATCATTTATGCTTAAGCTCGGCAGAGTTTCAATGTGTGCGAGAGAGAAGCGTACATCACGTATGTTAGGAAGAGTGCTCCGTGATCTTCCTTGCTGTCGTTGCGGGTCAACTCGTGATTACTTGTGGGCGCACTGTTTCTAACTCTTTATAACATACGTGTTGCACGCGTCGCTCTCTCTCTCTCTCTCGTACACATTGAAACCCGGCCGACCTCAGCAGCAAATGATTTGCACGGTATGAGTAGCTGTTAAAAACAAAATCACTTTCACTTTATCTTACAATAATAACTATAATAATAATAATAATGAGCCTTTGTTGCCCAATAGCTTATCGCCAATAATAAAAATAAAAGAGAATATTTTGCCCTACGATGATTTCTCAAAAACCGATTTGTTTCGAAGATACAGTGTGAACAAAATTTACGACAATCATATTCGATACTTGTTGAAATCATTAATGTAAATAAAAGTATGTCGTACGCCGATGACATTCGTAAGTACAAAAATTGTTGATGACAATTTGGAATGGTCGTTTGATCTACTAACGTACAAGTGGATTTCATTTTTAAGTTTCGTAAGTGATAACCACCGGTATCGGTCGCAGTTGCTTACATTGACTGACGGTTGACATGTCTTTGATAGTTAGTGAAGCCCTCTACAATGTATGATAACGTCGAGATGACTGATATGCATTTCATGTATGGACTTGCTGTTGGCAGTTTGTTGGAAGCTAGCGAAAAATCTTCGAAAACATTCATCGACGCCTTCGTGAAACAGGCACGAGATTGAGGAGGAAGATTGATGACAGTAAGAATGGTACAATTGGAAGAAAATGTACTGCACATGATAGAGGAAGATGGAAGTACTTCTACGCGATAAATTGCTAATACTTTCAATGTAAGTCATTGGGCAATTTAGAGAATTGTTAAGGGCAATTTGTTATATCACATTTAACGTGTTCAGGCACTACTACCTGCTGATTAAAGATAAGTTCTAGTCCCTCTATTCCTGATAGATACCCTTTTCACACATGAAGCCAGTTTCACATGAAATGCAATACGGAATTTTCATAACAACCATGCAAGATTGACTGGCGAGCTTTATCGTAACACTTTTGGTAGAAACACTGCCCAACTTTCTGCAAGTTATACCATTGGCGACAAGAATTGCAATATGCTTCATACACGATGGTGCACCATCACATTTCAGTTTGGTTGCTCGTGATTTGTTTAAAGCAACATACGGATATTGCTGAATTCGTCGAGGTGGGCTATACGCATGATCTACTCGATCCCCAGACTTAAACCCCCTGGATTATTTCTTATGGGCGGTCTCTGAAGTCATTGAAGTCTGCGAAATCGGGTAATTGCTGGGTGCAACTCGAATAGAAACAACCCTGGTGTGTTAGAAAGAGTTCGGCACTCAATGACGAGAAGAATGAATACGCAATCCTCCATTTTGTAGTTGTACCATATACGGTCAGTCTGTCTAGAAAAAGTGAGTACCTAACATTTAGAAATATTAAGGTCCTTATTTCCATACCATCTTAGTACAACATTGATTTGTTCTTGTAACACAACACAATCCTCCGACAAAGAAATAGTAGAGAAAAACTTTAAACAGTCAGCAAACATCAACCTCAGACGTTTCAAGGGACATACATCGTTGTCGAAAGAATGAACAGTATGGACCCTAAGCATGCGAATAGTATCCAGTGTAAAGAACATAGTGTTTCTTCTCAGTAAGATAGGAAATCAAAATCGCAATATAAGTGCTATTAAAAACTAAGTACCGTAGCTTTCTAATCAATATATTATGGTTAACCTTATTAAAGTATTTGGAGAAATTCATGTATGCCAAGTCAATCTGGCCTCTGTTATCCAATCTTTGGCCTGATTATTCACTGAAGTCCATCAAATTAGTTGAACATTTTTATTATATATTCGGTTATACAATATAATCTCCAACATTTTTTCATTTTAAAACATATCCACCATAATCATTTTAACATTCGTCAATTTTTTAAAGAGCGCTGCCACCCGACCGTCAAACCAGTTAGTAACTGCTTCTTTTAATATGTCATCATTTTTCAAGCGCTTTCCACAAAGAAATTTGGGAAAAAGATGAAAGTCTGGTGTTGCTACGCCATATCTGTATGGTGGATGATCCAGTGATTTCCATAGAAACTGCGTCGGTGTTCTTGCCGCAACGTAATAGGTCGTCTACACGGGCCATAGAAAATGCAGATTTTTGAAAACATTGCCGGGTTATGTAGCCGGGCAGCATGGCCCAGCAACTGAATTTTTACATATTGCCAGGCCACATTCTGGACGAGTATGTCCGAACATCGTTCTGCAACATATGGCCATAGCAAATTTGCATTTACACTAGACAACATTCACACAAATAGTTGCTTTATCACCATGGATGATCTAGTGCTTATTGCGGCTGCTATTATTTTGTTAAAAAGATCAAATCAAAAACCGAACACTAAAAAAAGAAAAAAGTTGTGGGTTAGGCCTTATTTAAGTAAAAGGCTTACTTTACAAAATCTAAGTGAAGAGTTATTTTCATGTCAGTTTCCTATAATATTTTGCTAGTTTTGAACTCGACTTCATTGCAAATCAACTTGACATAAGAATTCATTTTAGTTGCAATGTGATCGCAGAATGACGAATATGGGTTCCTGCGCTTACTTTTCGATTCTTCTATTATGTTAAGGGCCTCGGCGTAAGCAGCTTCTTGATTATATATATATATGTTTTGATGGTTTCTTTTTTACAACTCGAGAGACATTTACCGGCTTTGGCAATGGTTCCATAGTATCAGTAGTCTATTGAAATTCTTCAGATTGGTCAATATCAGAATCTTGATGTACAGCCTGAGAAGAAAATTTATATGTAATACAGAAGTTAGGTTTATATCCTCCAAAGACATTACTATCTACACAATATGGTTTTTGTTTCATTTCGATATCTATAAAGATAAAAAATTTATTGCCGATTAAAATGATATCGTTAAAAAACGCACTGTACCTCCATACAGGTATCGACAAGCTGTATATTATCATTAGCTGTTTTTTTAACTTTTTTTAGATACCAACATCAGAAAGAGAGTGGCTTAATGTGGCTAAAGCATTCGAGGAAAGGTGGAACTTCCCACATTGTTTAGGTTCAATGGACGGAAAACATATTGAAATTATTTGTCCTCCCAATAGTGGAAGCAAATATTATAATTACCTTCATTATTACAGTATTGTATTATTTGCTGTGGTAGATGCTCAGTACCGATTCTTATATGTTCACGTGGGATGCCAAGGACGGATATCTGATGGAGGCGTTTTTCGACATACTTCATTCGGAAAACGCTTAATGAACAAAACATTAAATTTACCCCAGCCAGAGAACCTCCCTCAGAGACAAACTCAACAACCCTATGTTTTCGTTGCAGACGATGCATTTCCGTTAACTGAAAATATTTGTAAGCCGTACACCGTTGATTTGAACGTAGGCTCTGCTAAACGTGTATTTAATTATCGACTATCAAGTTTACATCGAGTTTTCCACAAAAAACTGGATGTAAAGTTAGACACTGTACAAAATATAGTGCTAGCCTGTGCTTATTTACACAAGTTTTTACGCAGAAATACACTAAATCGATATTCGCCAACTGGAACTGTTGATATGGAAGATATTGATGCTGGTAGGATTATCCCAGGATCATGGCGAAACGATGGCAAGCAATTACCAAATTTGCAAAGAGTCGGTAGAAATGCAAAAGCGATAGCAAAAGGAGTACGAGAAGAATTCATGAATTATTTTATGACTGACAGTGGAAGAGTGCTATGGCAAGACATGTACCTAAATGGACATCAACTTGTTATTCCCCGATAAATATGTCACACTGTATATTAAACTGTAATAAATAGTATACAAATAATAATTATTGTATTTTGCATTTTACAAGATGACCTTTCAATGGTGCTTCAATTTTAAAGTCAACGTAAATACAGTGAAGGGTGTAACAGGTGTGTACCTTCAAATAAAACAACACAATTACCTGTCCCTTATTTTCAGTGTCCATACCATCGTTTGGGGTATCACGAAAAGCGATCCAAGTACTATCTTTACGATTAGCGCCACTTCCACTCTTCTTTGAAGACTTTTTAGCTTCGTTTTTAACGTAGGTCCTCAGGCTGCGAAACTTTTTGTAGGCTTCATCGCTTGATATTTCAAGTTCAGTAGCAATTTCATTCCAGTCATCTTTTTTCCGATTCCTATCTTTATACAAAACATTGTCAACATCCCACAATTCTGGACGTAACTGTATAGCGTTAATTAAATGTAAAGTCTTATCGTTAGTCCAATTAGTCATTTTAAATTAAGAAAATTCACCACAAAACAACACTCGAATGACGCGCGGCTAAACAAGTGAAGTGAGACAAATACAAAGATGGCTGAGCCATGTTGCTGAAAATTCGCAAAGCGGTCGATCTCTCGGCCACTTGCCGGCCAGTGTTGTTGCACTAAAGAAATGCCAGGATATATTGCTCGGCCATATTGCAATATTTTGGTTATATTGCCGAATGTGGCTGGCAAGTTGCGAGCCATCATCCGGCCATATGATGCCGCCTACAAAATGCCGAAAATTATGGCCCGTGTAGACGACCTATAAGGCCGCGCGTTGCCGTGAAGCCAAGCAGGCACCGGCGGTAAATAGCGCGCCTAACCTTCAGTAGTGTTTCACACCACCACTCAGCATTTATAGCAGGACAAACTTTTTTGCGTTTAAAAATCGATTTACTGAGCGCACTCCACAATCGGCAGTCTTAGTAAGTATCATGGTAACTAATCCCGACACAGACGTAACACGTAGTGGCGGCGTAGTGAAAAACTGACCAAGAATTTATTCAAACGAACGACACGCGACATGCTGAGCAATGGGCAATCGGTTCTTTAAAATGGCCTTCGTAGTAACAAAATTAAAGTAATTATACTACAATCGCTTCCGTGTTCGGTACCCTTCTTCATTGATAATTTCTCTTGCGAGTATAACTAAAGTGCCTAGAAGTTAAGCTAGCTGTAGTTTTAACCCTCCGTTATTAAAAACAATTTATGAAAAGATAACACAAGAAATATGTACTTGGCTGCTGTATTTACATTAACAAGATATCAAGATTATAAGTAACAAGGAAAATGGAGTCACGTAACGTTCATCTAACGGGCGCCACGATCTTTATGAGTTGCTGACATGACTTAGAAGTCGGTTACCTCGTACCTGTTATAAGAGCAGTTTTATTATCGTGAAGCAGTAGACGTTGTAGGCCATTTTACTTGCTAATACGAAAGACGGAGGTAAATGGAATTTGGAACTGAAACTGTGGCCACTCAGCAGGACTCGAACTGCGTCTATTTTTTTGGCTCCAGGTAACCCCTCAGCCTTCCAGCAACTGCTACGATTGACTAGATATGTATATGCGTGCTGAACTAACTTTCAGCATTATAGACTGTTACTGAAAAGGGAGAGAAGCCTTTAAATTGACATTGAAGTCGGTGCGTGTCTATCCCTTATCCAAAGTGATGCCGCGCTGGCAGTAGAGTGCGATAAGTTTTCTTGCTCTCTTCCTTTTCGGTACCCGAGTATAGTCGCTACAACCTGAACCGAATGGATTCCTAGCAATACGCTGCCATCTACCATATTTGTTAGTCTGTTTGGGTGCCTTTTGTTTGTTGGGTGATTGTCATAAACAGGCTCAACATTTTCGAAAACAGGAAGTCTTCAGGAAAAGAGCCGTTTATTTGGGCAGATCACCGAGGACTTGATACGGCACGGTCAATGGCGGCAGCTGCTGGTGAAAATCGAGGGCAAAAAAGTCCTTTTCTCTACATAACGCCCTCACTCTATACAAAGCCCAGATAAGACGTATCCTCAAGGACTGCTCACAAGTTTGGAATGCTGCAGGTCCGACTTCAGTATCCATGCTTGATACTGTTCATAAGAGTGCTGTTGGACTGGTCGAAAACTCTTCTCTAACAGTCTTGAGACCCTTTCTGGCAGTCAAAGATCTAGCTTTCTTTTACCACTATGCCAGTCAGACCCGCCTGACTTCGCCCTCCTATCCTAACCGTGTCGAGCTATTTATATCTGAAACTGGCCGATATAACCGCTGATTTGTCCATAGGATATCAAGATTGTGGAAAAATCTACCTGAGAAGGTTTTTCCCAGTTGTACTAATCTTGAGCAGTTCAAAAGTCGGATTAACAATTAAGCTTCTTCAAGCTCCTCATAGCAGCCGCGGTGCCCCGGCTTTTAGGCTTCTGCTTGCCCGGCTTGTCCGGTATAAAAAAAGTAGTATTGAAGGTAATATGACTCCTGGAAAGCTCCGCATATAGGCGGAACCACATTTACTGCTGCTTTCGTAGCAATTGAGAAAATACCTAACTGATTATCGGTGACCAACAGAGAATCGAGGTTGATCTGTAGGGCTAAAAAATACCGATGTCGGGCGCTTTTATAAGCAAAAGCGTAACATAAAAGGTTACCTTTAGAATAAGTTAAACTGGTATTTAGCGTGTTTCAAATGGGGCGTTCTATAAACCATTAGAATTCCTTTATATACCCTATTTGAATATAAATTATATAAGTATGTTTTTGTTATATAGGGTCAAGTTTTGAATTAAATAGGAAACACAGTTTTAGTTCTTTAGATTGTTATTTTTACTGAACTTACTTACTTACTTAGGATAAGGCTATGTATGGAATATCATATCGAACAGATCGCCTCCACGGCTTTGCTGACACATACATTTCTCATGACCTTTCTGTGCATATCTTGTTGAAACTACATACTGGACACATCCATATCATCCAATTTTGCCCGAAAGAACTGTGTTGTCAAGTCGCGATATCGATCACAGTAACAGCCACTGCTTCACCAGCCAAATTTTCAAAAAAATATGGTCCAATGATGCCTCCAGCCCAAAATCCGCACCAAACAGTGACCCTTTGTGGGTGCATTTGTTCTTCGGCAATCTCACATGGGTTCTCCGGACACCAAATACGGTAATTTTGGCGATTAACAAAGCCCTTAAGGTGAGCATGTTCTTCATCGCTTAGGATGATTTTGCTCGAAAAATCAGCATCCACTTGTTGATGTTCAATAATCCTTTCCACGAATTCTCTACAGTGTTCATGATCATGAGGCTTCAGTTGTTGAGCTAATTTAATTTTGTAAGCATGGAGTTACAGATTTTTGTGAGTATACGCTGTCGAGAGCTTCTTGATATTTGTAATTATTATTATTATTATTATTATGCCTTTATTAATTATTAAGAATGGAAGATTGGCAGAAACACTACCAACTTTATAATTAATGATTATAAAACAAACAATTCAAAATCAGTACATGACTATATCTAATACGAACTAGCCATTTGAGAATTTAGAAGTAAGAATTTGACGCAAGCTTTAAACTTTTGAACTGAATATGTTTTGAAAGCATCATCAATATCAGTATAAATAGTGACCGCATTGTATGTAAAAGACTTCATAAATGTTGTTAAGCGAAATTTCGGAAGAGACAGTTTATTAATATATCTGATAATCAAATCACGCTAATCACGCCTAAAAACTAATTTTCTTCTTAAATAAGGAGGAATGAGGGTAGTAATAGCCGGTGAACTAAGATGTATAGTATCTATAGATATTTTTTATTTTCAACCAACTCAATTCATTAATTTTGCTTGAAACTCGATCATATTTCCTGAGCTAATAAAACAAATCTTAAACAAAAATTCTAAATTTTTGCAACCTGTGCTTTAAAACTTGCGTAAGAAATGGGTAATAAAGCGTGACAGCATGATTCAGAATAGGAAATACCAAGAACTCACAAAGCATTTTTCACAATCTAAAATTTAATATTCCTCCATTTCGATAGAGGAGTCTAAATACAAGATACGTCTTTTTGACTAAAAGTGAAACATACTCATCAAACCTGAGCTTACAGTCAAAAATTATACCTAAGTTCTTTACACTTTTGGAGAGAGCAATACTCCTTCCGTCAATTTTCAGTTCCATTGATTACGTAAAAATTTTCTTATTAGGTGGAGGAAATACAATGACTTGACATTTATCGGAATTTTGTTTTAAATTGAGCCTCAAAGAGTACTCGTGTATTTCTTGTAAGCCCTGTTTAATGCAACCAGATGCAATATCAGAAAACTTGGGATCACAAGGTGAAAATAATTGAATATTACAACTATTGACAGCTTTAAATATATCTGAAGTATATATAATGAAAAGTAACGGTGCGAATTCTTGTCCACGACACCGATTTGAAATTCCTGGATTTTCACCAACACTCTCAGGATATTTGAACGGCTTGTTTTTGGATGACCGTAGTATATACAGGGTGACTTTGAAGTTGAGTCATTAATTTTCAGGTAATGATTGTAGAAGGAAGATAAACCAAAATATGTGTGTAAAAATAAAAAAAAATTAAAAAATTTTTTTTACCTTGTTTTATAAAGTATCCTCCCGACAAGTATTTCAGTGCAGACCTGTATTTGATCCTGAGGTCTTGGAGCACCGGCATGACGTCCCCTGTGAGGTCTTAAGTCACCTGATTCACGAGCCCGTTGTACTACATTAACAAAGGCACGAGGGGTTGGTTGCACTCGATTGGGAACCGATCCGCATAAACATGTCCCATTTTTTATTTCGTTTGAGCCACGCAACAGACACTATTCACACGCGTTACCGACTGACACTGACTGTATGTATAACTGAACTGAATAAAATAATTGTAAAAACATCGTTCCAAATTATTTCGCTTTTTTGTTTCCGATGCGATGAACCGATAAGGCGGATTATATCCGT